GAGGGGGGGAGAGAGAGGATGCAGGCCAAAGATGATATGGAGCACTGGAGGGGAGGGGGGAGGGAGGAAGGATGCTGAATGAAAGAGCATCTCTAAATCGGAAAACTCTGTATTGCAGAGAAGGCAGCTGGTGAAGGGCTGATGGGAAGAGCTTGCCTTGAAATTGAATTTAAAGGCCAATTTGGCTTCCAGGAGGAATCACGGAGCTGGCTGAAACCCAAGCAGAGCCTGGTTCTCGTCCCTCCCAGGACTGTTAACTCTGAGTGGCAGCTCGAGCTGGCCAGAATCCTTTCCTAGCTCTGCCTGGGCCCGGCTGGGAGTTCCTGGCAGTCGGTAGTGGTTATGTGCCATGGTCTCCTCTCTGGTCTCTGGGGACCACAGAAAAACCAACAGTCTCCAGAATGCCCTGTCCTTAACCGCCCAGCTCTTGCAAACTCAAAAGTCGTGGTTTCCTTTAGGGTTCTGTTCCTCTCACATTTGGCCTTTCCTCTGTTCCTGCTGCTTCCCGTCTTTCCCAGTATGGCGCTCTTTTCTAGGGAATCCTTCCTCCTCATGACGGGCCCAAAGAAGGACAGTCTCCGAATATCAACTCAAGTAGGTGCTTCATAGCTTCCCACCTTGGACATGCTTTGACTTTCAAGTGGTAGGAATTTTAAAAAAATCCTTGTTTCATGCAGTCTGGGATGGCCAGCTCTGGTTGGCAGCCACAGCGCTTGGGGGTTTTCAACCAGGCTTAGCCCGATCCGGAAGTGCCACTAAGAAATCCTCCCAAGGAGCCGGTGTGATGTGGTGACTGGAGCATTCGAGGGAGGCATGAGAAATCTCTCTCTCTCTCTCTCTCTCTCTCTCTCTCTTTCTCTCTTTCTCTCTCTCTCTCTCTCTCTCTCGCTCTCGGTGAGGGATGTTACAAAAAATAAGATTAAAAGCAAACATTTTTGAAGCAAGGGTTTGTCTGCCTCCCCGTACGTACTGGCAAAATTAAAGGGGGGGACCCCAAATTCTCATGGCCCTTTAAAAATTAAGAACATTATTTTAGGGTGAGCTTTTCGCTGACCAGAATCCATAGATTCAGAGTCACTGGAATTACTTGCTCCTTTTTTCTTTAAAAGGCCACAGTATCCCCCTCCTTTTACAGTTTAATTTTCTTTGATTTCCTGAATTTATCCATGAACAACAATTAAAACTTCCCCCTGTTGATCCGTGGCACATTTGCCATGGGAGGGAAGCAAAGGGTTTCTGGACATTTCCCACATATTGTTTTGTCATACCAAAAGGACCCTCCTTTTCTGACTCTTTCCAAGAAGCTTTCTATAATACATCATCATCATCATCATCATTTTTGCAAAATTTTGGCCAGTGCATTTTTAGGTTTCTGTGTGGGATTGTATCAGATTTGACTTTTCTTCTCTTTTTTTGTGTCTTAGAACTGCAGGGCTGGAACCTATGGATCATCGAGTCCAGCTCCTATGATGTGGATTATAGGAAGGGGGGGGGGAAGCATGCAGATCTTCCTTATAGAAAGTTTGGTAACATCATAATAGAAACAGATGCTAATACAATACACCGATCGTTCAGTCTAAATTCTGAGGTTTAATCAATTTAAAGATTAATTTGGCTGTAGGACCCCGTAAGATAGCCTTAACACAGTCACTTTGGGTGTGATCAGATGGATGTAACAGTGTGCACAGAATCACATTGGAAAGGGCTTCGAAAACGCCATGTTTCCCAAACTTGGGTCCCCAAGGGGTTCTTGGACTCCAACTCCCAGAAACCTTCACTGCTCGCTGTGCCGGCCAAGAATTCTGGGAGTTCCATGCCAAGAACATCTGGGTAACTCAAGGTTGGGGAGCATGGGTTCAGTGAAGGTGGTCTCCCCTAAAGGAATCCTTCTGAGAAATTGCTTTAACTCAGCCCCCAACGGTGGTGTCCCTATAGGCCAGGTTTGGGCAAGAACACGTTTCCCCATACATGATGAGATCACCAGGAAATGGATCGTACCTGGGCACAGTTCGAAATCCAACCTATTTCTCCACAGGGATCATAAAACCAGGTGGTTTTATGAACTGCTGGATAGCTCAGGAGTTTGAGGTCTCTGGCTGTGGAGCTAGGAGTTGGGTGTTTGAATCCCGCACTGGGCCTCCTTGAGAACGGCTAGACTAGATGATCCTTAGGAGTCTCTTCTCGCTCTGCCATTCTAAGATGATTTATTCTCCCTTGGTAGGAAAGGGTGATTAATGGATTCGTTGCGATAAGAGCAACAACCCCCCCTTGGGCAGAGTTGGCAAGACCCATGCCAGCAGTTAAGATGGTATACAGGATGCTGTTTTGTGTTCAGCTGTGGAGCCAGAGGATAGGAGTTCAAATCCCCCACTCAGCCTCCTTGACAGGAGTTGGACTGGATGATCTTTAGGGTCCCATCTAGCCCTGCAGTTCTAAGATGATGATGATCATCATAATTTATGACAATAAGCTGCGGAGCCAGAGGTTGGGAGCTTGATTCCCCAGCTGGGTCTCCTAGACAGGGGATGGATTTGATGATCTAGAGGATCCCTTCTTGCTCTAAAGTCAAGATGGTCTACGCAGGATACCCTCTTGGGCTTACCTGCGAAGCCAGAGGTTGGGAGTTCGATTCCCCCACTCAGCCTCCTTGACAGGGGCTGGACCCAATGATCTAGACCAGCTTTTTGCTCCTGCTCGTGGTCAGCAAGAAGGTTCAGGGGTGTCCTCACCAACAGAGTGTTAAGGTGGCCATGGCAACATTTGATAGAAATAAATGCCTTTATTGTCCTGCTCCCTATTGTGGGCAGGAGATGAGCGAAGGCCAGAAAGGAAGGAGGAGAGGAGGAGAAGGATAGAAACGTATGCAAAATAAAGAAGGACACTCATGCATGGGTTTCTGGCAACAGGTTTCTAGAACAATTAGCATGGAAGGCCATGTCTTCATCATGCTGGGGAAAAGCTCATTTAAAAAAAAAACATGCCCGGGAGGAAGCATGGAAGGGAACAGAGAGAGAGAGAGAGAGAAGGTTTCAGCATTATTTATGGTGTCACAAACCACTTAGCCTGAAGTTTAAAACTGCCAGGCTCAGCAAAAAACAAAACAAAAAAAACCCCAACCCTATGCGGTTATTCTTCAAAGCGTCACCGGTCCTGCGACATGGGAAGCAGGAATCTTAATGCGATCCCATTAGATTTCTTTTACAAGGTAATTTTAATGCAGGCGTGCTCTCACGCTCAAGCCTCCCCCCCCAAAAAAAGCCGTCTTTTACTGCTTCCCTTAACGGCACGCAGACACCCTGTGAGATGCACGAATGTCTTCGGATGGCTTGAACCTGGCTAAGCCTGAATTTCTTAGCCTGCCCTCCTTCCACCACCACCCCCAGAGGGCCTGGGTACCCAAAATATCTAATTGAAAAAAGGAAATCGTTGGGATCCTGTGGACACTCACTGAAATCTAGCAAAATGGGAATGTCAGGATCCTCTTAGCCTCCTCCCGTTGGGTGCCGTTCTTCTTTTCCTCTGCTCTTGATTTCCCCCACTTTCCCCCACTCATTAACGGTTTTTGGCCGTTTTCTCTTGCTCTTTTTTTTTTCTGTCCATGAGCCATTTGTGGTCTCCAGGCATCCCCTGCAGAGGTAAGCAGTACCTGGAACGGCCTAGAGGCCCTCTCAAAAAATCAACATCCCAGATCCACCAGTACGTTTTTTTCAAACCCCCCCAAAACTGAGGACTGCCACCTAGTGACTAAAGATGGTACTACAGATTTTAGCATCATTCAGATTGAACTGATGATCCTACTGGATTCTCATATTTTATAAGAGTGCGAAAACCTTTTCCATTGCCTTCTCCACACCATTTATTTGATTATTTATTTATTTATTTACATACTGCACCGCCCTTTTAAAATATTTTAATATCTAATGTTTTCATACGTGGTTGTTTATTGTGGTTATATTTTTATATGCTGAATGTTATTTTATGTTTGGAATGACTCTTTCTGCAAGCCAGCAAATAAATAAACAAACAAATAAATATCCTGCCCATCTGGCTGAAGGCCGCTCTGGCATAGAATAAAACAACAGTAAGCAGTCAAAAGCCATAAAAACAACACAACTGTAAAGAAAAATACACTATATAAGACTAATGAGACCATCAAAAGACATTTACTGGCCGCTTTTGTGCCAATAAGAACACCCGAGGCGGCTCACAACATTCAGGAGAATAGAATTAAAACAAATTAAACATTAAGAAACAGAC